GCTTGAAACTTAAATATTTAGGTGGCTAGCTAAATATTTAACTTAAATATTTAGGTGGCTAGCTAAATATTTAACTTAAACATTTAGGTGGCTAGCTAAATATTTAACTTAAACATTTAGGTGGCTAGCTAAATATTTAAGTTGCAACCTAAATATTTAGCTAGCCACCTAAATATTTAAGTTAAATATTTGGGTAGCCACCTAAATATTTAAGTTTCAAGCTAAATATTTAGCTCGAAACTAAATATTTAATTTGTAAGTTAAATATTTAGATTATAAACTATGACATTTATAAATGTATGAATCATGTGGTGAAAAACTGACTTTGAAAAATAAATCTGTTCTTTTTTTTCTTATAAAAGGCTAAATAAAATAAAAAATATTGGTGGTAATTTTTGACTGTGTACCTTTACAAATGGCACCCCGTAGTTTCCTTTCTTTTTAACTGAAGGAACCTTCCCTCCCTGATAATGCTTGTTTGTTGGTACAGTCATGTGGCAGCACAGAAACACATGCCTGCTGCATTCAGTCAACCCGAGCCAAGCTGGAAGGAAGAGTGAGTCAAAATTTCTCCACCAAAGAAGACTGTTGAAGCTGTTCTACGAGTTACTGAGCCACAGGACAGGCTTGGTTTTTACTCTGGCCACAGAGCTGAGGAGATGGTGGAATGTTGTAGATGGGAAATGTGAAAAAATGTCTCTTTTCTCTTCTGCCCTGCAGGGGTCAATGGAGGAGCTGCAGCCTGAGGAGCAGTTCCTGCTGTGTGCTCGCAACGGAGATCTGCCTGGAGTCCTACGGTTCCTCCAGCCTGAGAGCAGTGCAGAGACACCGATCAATATAAACTGCAAAGGCATGCCTTTACCCTCTCACTAACACTTTCCTATACAGGTCAAAGCTCTCTGAGCAACATATGGTCAGAGGCCCAGAGGTGGTCCTTCCGTGATATCTGTTTGGTCCCCATTAGTCCTAAATTGAAAATAAAATATATGTATTAAAATCAGCATTTTTAATAATCAGACTTAAAGTGCCAAAATATGTGATATCTATATCCTTCAAAAAGTTGTCAATTTGCAAAAAATACATACATACATTTGTATATTTTTTAAATTATTAAAATCTATGTCTTCCCATGGGCTCACCACCTGTGGGAGGGGCCAAATGCAGTGTGTGATGGGTAGTAGTCGAAGGCGAGGACCTTGGCGGTCAAGTAGGGGTCTCTGCAGACGAGTGGGCGCGTCCCAACGAAAGACGATTCTAAAGCGACACAATTGATTTGACMGACTTTTTTAAAGGGACACACCTGACTGGACAAGCAAGAAAGGGGCGTCACCATATGGCACCACCTGATTGGAAAAGAACAAAACGGGCATTACTGTTTGGCACCACTTTTTCTGGAGACCACTACTTGGGTCACATTTCTCCTGGTTAACCTTCGTGTTGGGGTCAGGATCAGGCTGTATAGAGGTCAAGCAGGGTCTAAAGATACCGTCATGTAGGCCTCGTAGCCCACAGTGTTAATGCTTTAGGCACGCCCACTCTTGTGTCACGCCCACTTTGATTCCGCAGATAACCCCTTCTCTTGGCGGTCTGATCCTCAGCTACAGAAGTTGTCTCTAGGGACGTGGAATGTCACCTCTCTGGTGGGGAAGGAGCCTGAGCTGGTGTGTGAGTTTGAGAGATTCCCACTAGATATAGTTAGACTCACCTCGACACACCACTCTGGCTCTGGAACCAGTTTCCTAGAGAGGTGTTGGACGCTCTTTCTTTCTGGAGTTGCCCCTGCTGACAGGCGCCGAGCAGGAGTGGGCATACTTATTGCCCCCTCCATCTTGGTGCCTGTGCATTGGGGTTCACCCCAGTGAACGAGAGGGTAACCTTCCTCCACGTACGTGTGGGTGGATGGGTTCTGACTGTTGTTTGTGCTTATTACCCACACTTTTTAGAGACCTTGGACGGGGTGCTGGAGACTGCTCCTCATAGGAACTCCCTTGATCTGCTGGGGGGCTTAAATGCTCACATGTGCAATGACAGTGAAACCTGTAGCCGGAAGTGTGTAGTTGAGGAACGGTACTCCCGATCTGAACCTGAGCTGTGTTTTGTTATTGGACTTCTGTGCTCGTCATGGATTGTCCATAACGAAAGGAAGGAGTGAAGCTGTCAACTGACCACTACCTGGTGGTCCCCTGGTGATGGTGCACTCCTGACCTGAACTCAGGATGTGTTGGTGGGCAGAATACTTCAAAGACCTCCTCAATTCCATCAGCACACCTTCCAATGTGGAAGCAGAGCCTGGGGACACTGGGTTGGACTCTCCAATCTCTGGTGCTGAGGTCACCAAGGTGGTTAAAAACCTTCTCAGTGGCAAGGCGCCGGGGGTGGATGAGATTCGCCCGGAGTACCTTAAGGCTCTGGAAGTTCTGAGTTTGTGTTGATTGATGTGACTACAATATTGCGTGGACATTGGGGTCAGCTGCCCTGGATTGGCAGACCGGGGTGGAGGTRCCCCTATTTAAAAACGTGAGCCGCAGAGTGTGTTCCAACTATAGGGGGATCACAATTCTGAACCTCCCTGGTAAGGTCTATTCTGGGGCCCTGGAGAAGATGGTCTGTTGGATAGTCAAATCTTGGATTCAGGAAGAGCAGTGTGGTTCTCGTCCTGGTTGTGGAACACTGGACCAGCTCTACACCCTCAGCAGGGTCCTGGAGGGTGCATGGGAGTTGGCCCAACCGGTCTACATGTGTTTTGTGGACTTGGAGAAGGCATTCGACCGTGTCCCAAGGGGGGCCTTGTGGGGGGTTTTCCAGGAGTATGGGGTACCGGGCCATTTGATATGGGCTGTCAGGTCCTTGTACGACCG